GTTTCTTGGGAATTTTGTTACAGATGACGTCCCCGGTGTTACCTGCCATTGCTCTCTGTTTGCCGTGAGTATCCCCACGTTGCCCGCGAACCACCGGCGGGGAGGTCGAGGGTTGGATTTCGGTTCGCTATCCGTGAAGCCGATTCATCCAACAACAGCAGCTAATCGGATCAAGTACAAGTAAGTAAGTACAGTGCCCTTTCGGCAGTTGCTAGTCTTTGTAAAAAACAGCTTGTTTACATAGGGAGAAACAGACGAAAACGCCCCCTCAATATCCAAAACACTTCTTATCAAAGTCAAGAACCACAGCAAGTTGCATTTACGTTGATAAACATCGTGATAGTGTGTATAGGGGGATCACAGACTAGAAACCACCGCAAAATATACAGGAGGTCTGGCCTCAAACACACGCTTAGTAAATTTCTCGGCAACATATTTTTGCACTACAGTGGAACGTCGGTGAACGAGTTTAATCCGTTCCGGCACCGAGCTCGTCATGTGAAAGACTTGTCTTGTGAAAATGTATCAATTCGTTGATTGGCTGCCGGTGACCGAGGACCCACGCCCTGGGAACGAGGCTCAACGGCCGACACACGCACTGACAGCAGAAGTCATGAAGAAATTTGATTTCGTAATTAAGCACATATTAGTTCAAGTAATTTTGATCCACCAAGTAGATTTAATCCTGTGAAAGCCTTTTAGTTAGGAAAATTGCCCTTTTAGTTAAGTTTGGAGAGGGTAATGGACGGTAATTTTGGCGAAATTGAGAGTAGTCTCATAGTCTCATATGGTACTAAATATGACAGAACAAAACTTTTTATTTAAATGCATTGCGCTATAGAAGAACTCCAAAATAAGTATAAAAGGCTTAAAACATAACCCTTTCAGAACCGGAAAATGTCTGAAATAGCTCAGATGCAAGCGAGGCCAAGTTTAAGGAATCGAATTTATTTTAAGAAACAAGAAATAATCAAAGTTTTAAAAATCATGCTTTTCTAAACTGTGTAGTTTTTTTGTTCCACAAAATGCAGTATCAAAAAAGGTTTGGTCGCACTTTGCTTTGCCGCATCGCTTCATGTAGAAATTTACTATTTTGTACGCTATACTTTCCGCTTATACGCTATTTAGAAACGGAGCATAAAGAAGAAGAACAATAAATATATGTCAAAACTTGCTATGCATGTGCTCACTCTTTTTTGTATTCACAAGCTTAGAACAGAGCCTGGAAGTAATCCACTATGGCGGAAAATAATTCAGTATAAGGAGAAAAGTGAGTTCTTTCATTTTCAGTCAAATTGAATAGTTTAGCTTCAGGTAAATTAAAAAACTTAGCAAAAATCTCCCTATTTATGTTGAAAGTACCTTGGAAAAAGGTAACATGCACAGATAGTTGTCAGCTGTATATCCAATTAAAGTGCTTTCTAAAGAGGTGAACTATCATATAAAGTTTTTAAATTAATCTTAGGACTAACTATGTCAGACTTCTGCTGCGGACGTTCTCTTTGCTGGACAAGGTGTCTTGCTATTTTGGGGAATTTCTAAACACGGTCCACATGGCCGTCTTCATAAGAACTAATATCCAAAAACTCATTTTTGGTAGATGCTTTCAATAGATATCTTATTTTAAAGGTTTTTATATGAACATCGAATATAATCTGTATTGATGGTCAAAAGCTTGACAGCAATGGAAACACTCGAAAATTTATCGGCATTTAAACGTCTATCTGTAAGTAATTGTAATTCAATAACGGTAACATGTTTATAATATTTTGACTAAGGAAAAGTTCTTTTTGTATAAAGAAAGTGGTTAGGCTATGTATTCAAATTAAGATGTTTAAATTTATTGTTCCAATTTATAGCTATTTTTACGTCTCCGGAACTTGGGAATTAGCAATAATTTTTTTAAACCGACACTTACTATTTCTTATATTTATGTTAAGTACCAAATTGGCGCAATGTTGTTCATTATTATTTCTCAGTTTTCGTAAATGCGTTAATGTGAGTAATGATCAATCTTTAACAAACTTACGCATTTTGCATGCAGCCTTCGCCATACTGTAATTTTACCTTCTATCTTCTGGTTTTTTCCCATACTTTTTAAAATTTTCTCTCCTGCGTCTTCGCAAGACTTTACTCATATAACCTCACTACCAACGGTCCTGTATTATAGAGTCCTGGGGTTTTAGTGTCCGTGGTGGTACCGGAATTTCTCATGGAGGGGAGAATCATAAACAATGAGAAGAATAAATGAGGAGGAGCAGCGAAGGGGGTGAAAGAGGAAGTGGATATTCTTACCAATTACAGCAACTACATCAGCAAGTAGGCCTGCCTTGCAGAGTTTATCGATGGCCGCCAAGTGTGGAAAGCCAGGGGCCCTGATCTTGCAGCGGTAGGGCCTGGTGCTTCCATCGGATACGAGGTAAACGCCGAATTCGCCCTTTGGATGCTCTATGGCAGTGTACGTCTCTCCAGGAGGGACCTGCACGTTAACAATCCATGAAAATGACGTCAGTATGTGTCGGGAACGGATAGTCCGAAAAAAAGCACGGTAAGTATGTAAAAGGTAAGAACACAATTCCGGCGTCACTTAATGCAGCCACAGCGCTTGGCTGGGCTCTTGACTAGCCTTGTATTGGACTGTCATAAAACGACTCAAATAAAGACCAGCTCCTACCACAAACTTACCTAAGCAACGTCACCTGTTTGAATGGATAGGAGAGATTAAATGGAGACCTATGTCTTCGGAGAGGGCTTTCAATTGCTCCCTATCTCCACCGCAAGTATACTATAAGCACTGTTAAAACCACAAACAA